CCAGGTTTTCCCATCCTTGGGGAAGGATTTAGGGGCTCTGGGGATCCAGGTTTTCCCATCCTCTGGGAAGGGTTTAGGGGTTTTGGTGACCCAGGTTTTCCCATCCTCTGGGAGGGGTTTAGGGGTGCTGGGATCCAGGTTTTCCCATCCTCTGGGAAGGGTTTAGGGGTTCTGGTGATCCAGGTTTTCCCATCCTCTGGGAAGGGTTTAGGGGTTTTGGTGACCCAGGTTTTCCCATCCTCCAGGAAGGGTTTAGGGGTTCTGGTGATCCAGGTTTTCCCATCCTCTGGGAAGGGTTTAGGGGTTCTGGTGACCCAGGTTTTCCCATCCTCTGGGAAGGGTTTAGGGGTGCTGGGATCCAGGTTTTCCCATCCTTCTGAAAGGATTTAGAGGTTTTGGTCATCCAGGTTTTCTCATCCTCCGAGAAGTATTTAGGGGTTCTAGGGATCCAGATGTTCCCATCATTGGGGAAAGATTTAGAGGTGCTGGTGATCCAGATTTTCCAATCCTCAGGGAAGGATTATGGGGTTCTGGGTGTCCAGGTAGAACCTCCAACCCCTTTCCCATACTGGGAAGGGTTTAGGGGTTCTGGGGATCCAGGTTTTCTCATCCTTGGGGAAGAGTTTAGGAGTTCTGGTGATGCAGGTTTTCCCATTCTTGGAGAAGGATTGTGGGGTCCTGGGGATCCAGATTTTCCCATCCTCAGGGAAGGATTTAGGGGCTCTGGTGATCTGGGTAAATCCCCCCACCCCTTTCCCATCCTTGGGGAAGGGTTTAGGGTTCTGGGCATCCAGATTTTCCCAACCTTGGAGAAAGATTTAGGGGTTCTGGTGACCCTGGTAAAGTCCCCATCCCGTTTCCCAGCCTTGGGGAAAGATTTAGGGGATCGGTGATCCAGATTTTCCCATCCTGGGGAAGGATTTAGGGGTGCTGGGGATCCTAGTAAAGCTTCACCCCTTTCCTATCCTCTGGGAAGAATTTAGGGGTTTTGGTGATCCAGGTTTTCTCATCCTTTGGAAAGGATTTAGGGGTTCTGGTGATCCAGATTTTCCCATCCTCAGGGAAGGGTTTAGGGGTTTTGGTGATCCAGGTTTTCCCATCCTTGGGGAAGGATTTAGGGGCTCTGGTGGCCTGGGTAAACTCCCCCCTCTCTTTTCCATCCTCAGGGCAGGATTTAGGAGTTCTGGTGACCCTGGTAAAGCCCCCCACCCCTTTCCCATTCTGGGGAAGGATTATGGGGTTCTGGTGACCCTGGTAAAGCCCCATCCCAACTTTTCCTACACTCAGGACAGGATTCAGGGGCTCAGGTGGTCCCCACGCTGCTCACTCTGAGTTTTTCCCGCAGTTATGAAGATTTCTACCTCTCGTGCTCCCTCAGCCACGGCGGGAAGGAGCTGTGCAGCCCCCTGCTCACCAGGAAGGCCCACGTCTACAAATACCTCTTCCACCTCATCATTTGGGACCAGCAGTAAGGCCGTGGGTGGGGTGGCCACGGGGGTCCCACCCACGCTGCCTTCATCACCCTCACCATCATCCTCCCCTCCCCTGCTCCTCCCCTCTGTGCTGTT